AGATGTAAGATAGGTGTGAGATATGTGATTGAGAGATGTAAGATAGGTGTGAGATATGTGATTGATAGGTGTAAGATAGGTGTGAGATATGTGATTGATAGGTGTAAGATAGGTGTGAGATATGTGATTGATAGGTGTAAGCTAGGTGTGAGATATGTGATTGAGAGATGTAAGATAGGTGTGAGATATGTGATTGATAGATGTAAGATAGGTGTGAGATATGTGATTGATAGGTGTAAGGTAGGTGTGAGATATGTGATTGAGAGATGTAAGATAGGTGTGAGATATGTGATTGATAGGTGTGAGATATGTGATTGATAGGTGTGAGATATGTGATTGATAGGTGTGAGATATGTGATTGATAGGTGTAAGGTAGGTGTGAGATATGTGATTGAGAGATGTAAGATAGGTGTGAGATATGTGATTGATAGATGTAAGATAGGTGTGAGATATGTGATTGATAGGTGTGAGATAAGTGATTGATAGGTGTAAGATAGGTGTGAGATATGTGATTGAGAGATGTAAGATAGGTGTGAGATATGTGATTGATAGATGTAAGATAGGTGTGAGATATGTGATTGACAGATGTAAGATAGGTGTGAGATATGTGATCGATAGATGTAAGATAGGTGTAAGATAGATGAAGACAGGTGTAAGATAGATGTAAAGATAGATGTAAGACGTGTAGGGCAGTGTAAGACAGGTGTAAGACAAGTGTAAGACATATGCAAATGAGATGCAAAACAGGCCTAAGGCAGTAGTAAGACAGGGTAACGAAATGCGTCTTTTTTCGTTGTTGTGTGGTTGTTGTGGTTGTGTTTCTGGGTAGTTGGTTAATGAACCGGTGCATAGATATGGTTGTTGGGTTGCAATCATGCACTTGAGGAATGTAGTTGATTTGGGAGACTCTTTTCTGACGGTGAGAAAATCGACAGAATTCGCTAACCGTCTTTCACAGTAATCTAAAAATATATATATATAAATATTTCCCTTGTTGGTTTTGATCCCAGATTGATTTATAAACTTAAAAGTAAAAGAATTCTCTGTTCGTCATTTTATCACAAAAGGAAATAATGCGATTGAACTTAACACCCACAGAGGAAGGAAAATATTACCGAATTCCTAACCTGAAATCATCTCTGCTCAACAGCAACTTCGCTCTTTAAAAAAAAAACTCTACGGTGAGAACCCAGATTTCAATTACTCTGTCTTCTGGCATATCCAAAATATAGCTATTTCTGTGCCGATGCTCCATTCGGCTCTTTTTGCCCGATTCTGTGGAATGCTATCAAATTCTTTCATGCCGTGTCAGCCGCAATGTTGAGAGAAGTTACATTTAATGACATTTGTGACTGCGTGTGGAATTCTGAGATAGGCAAAGAGAGGGAGAGGGAGAGGGAGAGGGAGAGGGAAAGGGAGAGAGGGAAGGAGAGAGAGAGGGAGAAGGAGAGGGAGAAGGAGAGGGAGATGGGGAAGAAGAAGGAAAGGGAGAGGGGGAGGGAGAAGGAGAGGGAGAGGGAGAAGGAGATGGAGAGGGGGAAGGAGAGGAAGAAGGGGAGGGAGAGGAAGAAGGAGAGGGAGAGGGGGAAGAAGAGTGAAAGGGAGAGGGGGAAGGAGAGGAGGAGGGTGAAAGACAAGGAGAAGGAGAGAGAGAGAGAGAGAGAGAGAGAGAGAGAGAGAGAGAGAGAGAGAGAGAGAGAGAGAGAGAGAGAGAGAGAGAGAGAGAGAGGGAGAGGGAGAGGGAGAGAGAGAGAGGCTGACAGGCAAGTAGATACATAAATAGACAGAGAGACAGGTAGATAGACGAACAGATAAATAGGGAGAGAAGGGGGAAGGGAGAAAAAGGAGAGGGCATAATATAATGAGAAAGAGAAAGAATGAGAATATTGCCAATAATGAAAAGAGAAGAATAAAGGTTTTGTAGATATAAAGGTATGAAGAGGAACATAAATGAGAAACGAGAAATGAAAGAAAGAGAGAGGGAGAGAGAGAGAGGGAGAGAGAGAGAGGGAGAGAGAGAGAGAGAGAGAGAGAAAGAGAAATAGAAAGAGAAAGAGAGAGAGAGAGAGAGAGAGAGAGAGAGAGAGAGAGAGAGAGAGAGAGAGAGAGAGAGAGAGAGAGAGAGAGAGAGAGAGAGAAAGAGAGAGAGAGAGAGACAGACAGACAGACAGAGACACAGAGAGAGAGTGAGAATGAGAGTGAGATTTCTCTCTCTCTCTCTCTCTCTCTCTGCCTCTTTCTTCCTCTGTTTTTCCGTGAGACAAACATATGGATGGCATGTGAGCGTGACAGCCGCCTCCGATGTCAGTTCTTCATTATTTGTTGCATTTGTTGGGCAAGACTGTGCAATGTTATGTCTGTTTATATTCTGTTTGTCTATATTTTTTCCTTATTCTTTGGTTCCATTTACTTGCTGTTTTGTTTTGTTATTGTGTTTTTCATCAGTGATGATATCGTTTTTTTTTTCTTTTATTCGAAAATCTTTTAAAGTAATACACACACACACACGCGCGCACACACACACACACACACACACACACACACACACACACACACACACACACACACACACACACACACACACACACACACACACACACACACACACACACAAACAAACACACACACAACACACACACAAAGCAACCTCATTTTAAATATAAACGCAATCTCTCCTCTATTTCCAGAGACGCGTGGAGGCTTCACACAGGTCGCCAGTATTACGTTCCAGTCACGAAGAAAACATTAGTCAATTTGGGTTTCGTAAGACAGGTTAGTCCCATTATGTGGTTGGGAATGAGGTAGATTATTCTAATATCGAGATGATTCTTATTACGCTTTTCTCTTTGTCTCTTTATCTATCTGTGTATTCATATATTTATCTGTGTCTATCTATGTATTCATTTATTTCTCTGGATCTATCTGTCTGTCTCTTTATCTGTTTCTCTCTCTCTCTCTCTCTCTCTCTCTCTCTCTCTCTCTCTCTCTCTCTCTCTCTCTCTCTCTCTCTCTCTCTCTCTCTCTCTCTCTCGCTCTCATATTTTCTCTCCTACCCCCCTCTCCCCTTCCCCATTTCCCCTTTCCCCTTCACCTCTCCCTACCCCACCCCTCTCCCTCTCTCTCCCACTTCTCCCTCCCTCCATCCCGCCCCCTATCTATCTATCTATCTATCTATCTATTTATCTATCTGTGACCACAAGACCTTAAATAACCCCCCTCCCCCCCACAGGTGACGTACGGCAGCCTGGCGGAGGAAAGGACAAGGACAGTTCTTGTTAACGGGGCTTGGAAGAAGGCAGCGGGTGAGGAGTGTTGTTGTTGTTGTTGTTTTTGTTGTTGTTGTTATATGGATGTTTTCGTTCTGTTTTTTTCTATTTTTCATGTTTTTTTTTTTTTTTTTGTAATTGATGTAGCTGTCGTTGTTGTTGTTTTCGTTGGTTTTGTTATTGTTTTTGTTGTCGCTGTTGTTTATGTTGTTGCCGTGGTTGTCGTTGTTTTGGTTATTGCTTTTGTAGTTTTATCTTTGTTGTTGCCGTTGTTGTTGTTATTGTTGTCGTTGTTGTTGTTATTGTTGTCGTTGTTGTTATTGTTGCCGTTGTTGTTGTTATTGTTGCCGTTGTTGTTTTTATGGTTGCCGTTGTTGTTGTTGTTCTGTTGCTTATTTTTTTTTGTTTTGTTTTTATGAAAAAAAAAATTGTTGATGTATATATTTTAAGATAATGCAGAGAGTGAAAAAGGCCTTAAGGTTTGTCAGTTATCTAAGTAGATATCCAGGCATGTAGAAAAAAATTATCCACTTATTAATATTATTCCACTGGACATCCATGCATACAAAAAATAAATAAATAAATAAATAAATAATAAAATAAAAATAGAATAAGATAAAATAAAATAAAACTTACAATTTACAGATTATGAATCAGTTATTACCAAATATCCACATCCACACGTTATCCACAAATTATTAGTCAGTATCATTATTCCACTAGACTTCCACATGCATAATTCATCCACATATCACAAAACTTGCTCGCTCGTTCCACCAGACATCCACTTATATAACAGGGCATCCACAAGCGCTTAATCAGTGGGTGTATTCCATTAGGCATCCACATGGAATCAATCAACGCCATTATTCCACATTTGATCAGTTGACATCCAGAAAGCATCGGTTAACATCATCATTCCACCCGACGTCCACTTATAAAACGTCCCACACAAGCCATCCATAAGCCTCCACTTTATGCTCTCTTCCACCTGACATCCACCCATAAAGGCATCCACAGCCCACTCACCTTTGCCTCTTCCACTTGACATCCACTTATAAAACGCCATCCACAAGCCTCCACCCACCTGCCTCTTCCACCTGACATCCTCTTATAAAACGCCATCTACAAGTCTCCACTCATCCTGCCTCTTCCACCTGACATCCACTTTTAAAACGCCATCTACAAGTCTCCACTCATCCTGCTCTCTTCCACCTGACATCCACCCATAAAGGCATCCCCAGCCCACTCACTCCACCTGCCTCTTCCACCTGACATCCACTTATAAAACGCCATCCACAAGCCTCCACCTCCCCTTCCTCTTCCACATGACATCCACTTATAAAACGCCATCCACAAGCCTCCACTCATCCTGCTCTCTTCCACCTGACATCCACCTATAAAGCAGGCCATCCACAAGCCTCCACCTCCCCTGCCTCTTCCACCTGACATCCGCTTATAAAACGCCATCCACAAGCCTCCACCTCCCCTGCCTCTTCCACATGACATCCACCTATAAAGCAATCCATCCACAGCCCACTCACTCCACCTGCCTCCTCCACCTGACATCCACCTATAAAGCAGGCCATCCACAAGCCTCCACCTCCCCTGCCTCTTCCACCTGACATCCACCCATAAAGCAGGCCATCCACAGCCCACTCACTCCACCTGCCTCTTCCATCTGACATCCACCTATAAAGCAATCTATCCACAGCCCACTCACTCCACCTGCCT